CTGATTTTTTAGATTAGAGAAATGCAGTAGATCTAATAGATGTGGATTTCAGTAAAGCATATGACAGTACCATTTGGGAAATTATTAGTTACATTAGAGAAGATGGGAATCAGTACAAAAATTGTAAGATGGAGAAAGAATTAGTTAACCAAGGGGAAGGCAATGGGTTGTGCTGAAAGATGAATTATCGGACTGGAAAGAGGTTACCCATGGAGTTCCACAAGGACTGGTCTTGGGACTAATTTTATTCAATATTTTTATTAATAACCCTGGCACAAAAAGCAGGAGCGGGCTAGTGAAATGTGCTGATGATACAAAGTTGGGAGGCATTGTCAGTACAGAGGAGGACTGGAATATTACACAGGAAGAGCTGGATGACCTTTAAGACTGGGGCGTGATAGAAATGGGATGAAATTCAATAGTACAAAGTGCAAAGTCATCCATTTAGGGTCTAATCATAAGAATTTCTGCTACAAGCTGGGGTCTCATCAGTTGGAAGTGACAGAGGAGGAGAGAGATCTGGGTGTGTGGGTCCATCATAGGATGATTATGAGCCACCAATGTGATGCACCTGTAAAAAAGGGAAATGTGATCCCAGGATGCGTCAGGCAAGGCATTTCCAGTAGAGATAGAGAAGTATTGATGTCATTGTACAAGACATTAGTAAGACCATAGTTGGAATACTGTCTACAAAACTCTGATCACCTACGTTCAAGAAAGATTAATTTAAACTGGAGCAAGTACAGAGAAGAGCATGTTCAGGGGAATGGAGGGCCTATCCTATGAGAGGAGACTGGAAGAGCTTGGCTTGTTTAGTCTAGCAAAATGAAGGCTGGGATGTGATGTGATTGCTCTCAGAATACATCAGGGGGTAAATAACAGAGAGGGTAAAGTGCTACTTAAGCTAATGGACAGTGTCAGCACCAAGAACAAGTGGATATAAACTGGCCATGAACAAATTCAGGCTGGAAATTAGAAGGTTTCTAACTACCAGAGGGGTGAGTTTCTGGAACAGCCTCCCTATAGGAGTTGTCAGGGAAAACTACAGTACTTAATTAGTTTGAAGAGAGAGCTGGATCAGTGGCGTAGCCAGGACAGGAAAACTGGGTGGGCCTCGACTTTCAGGTGGGTGGGCAACGACAAGGCGGCAGGGGAACAGGATGGATGGGGCGGGGGGCGGCACCTCTCCCCAACCCCTCCAGCCGGCCCTTACTGCTTAGCAGACACAAGAAGATGAGGCTGCCCGGGGCACACAGGCTGCGGGGTGCACCATGGGGCAGAGGGGGACCCCTCCAGGGCTTGAGCTTTGGCTGACTTCAGCTTGGTGTCCATCTGCCTGGCTGGCTGTGTCCCTCTCCTGCCAGTGCCACGTGCTGCTGCCCCAGTCTCCAGCCCCAGCACTAGCCCCACCCAGACCTGCCCCTCCTGGGATGACTCACCCCTTCCCAGCCTGTGGATTCAGGGAGCTCCAGCCCCTATTCAGGTGGGCCTGGATGCTAAGTGTGTGGCTGTGGCCACCCCAGCCCACCTGTGTCTATGCCCCTGCACTGGACAAATTTATGAGTGCAATTGTATGAGGGGGCTGCTTGTGATGGTAGAGGGCTGGATTCAGCGTCCCTGGGGCTCACTTCTAGTTTACATCTTATGTTCCTAAAAGCACGTGCTTCTGAACAAATTTTGAACCTTGCTTAAGGAAGCCTTTCCATTCTGTTTTTTCCGATTCCCCTTACACCTGGTGACAGAGTTGTCTCAGGAGACATGCTGCCACTTTCTGTCCCTACTATACCTGGACATCATTCCCCCTCCCGCAGCTGTCGGCAAGGAATGGACAATGCACCCTAACACGACTTCTTCCAGCCCCGCTATCATGTGGCAAGGCTTCCTTTGGATTTTGTGAAGGGAAGGAGGGTGGGGGTGGGAGACAGGATTGATGAAAAGCTGCCCATATCTGCTGCTTTTGAGACATTTTATCCTTTTTAACTCTCATTTTGTTTACCTCTTTGCTGGAAGGAGACATACAGGCTTAAATGTTCCGGCTTTTCTCTTAGTCCTCTCCCACCAAGCACAATATTAGAATGAGACCTGTAGATTTCCTCTGACTTTTAAATGGAAAAGCCACCAGTGTAAACACTAAACCTCATCATGCTTATAAGCCAGATGCCATTGAGTTAAAGAATTAGAAACCTTAAGTCAGAATGTTTTTATTGAATTATTGGAATGGCTAGACATGTCAATGGGCCATTGTAACCTGGAAAAGCCATATAACATTGCAAAGCATGAAATATGAAACAGAAAATTAATACCGTAGCAAGTTGATGCATAATATAAACTTTTCAGGGGCTGCCTCGACAACAAGAGTTACCAGTGAATTGCGTGGGTGTGGGAGGAGCAGGTCATCTGGCTCTCATCTCGGATGGTAAGTGGCTCAGTAAAGCTTACTGCATATTTTTACACACCGTAGTCCTGAACTGCAGATATTGCCTCACATATAGCGTTATCTCCCCTAACAGCATCCTCATTTTCCCCCACCCTTGTCGGTGGGTGTTTCTAGCCATGCCCTCTGCCAACAACTGGAAAGATATTTTCCCCACAAATGGATGGCATGATATGTATAAATTACACAGCTCCGTTTTCTGTTCAATTTGGGCAGATATTAACCCCTTCCGCACTTATTTACTACAAGAGAATATTACACAAATCTACGCAGCTATGCTGAGGCAGAGTACCATTATTCTGTTATTATGATACTTATCCTCTAGCATTTGTGGATCTTTTCACATATGTTATTATTTATTTTCAATAAAACATTTTGAAAAGGTGACACTGGTTTTCTTTTTGACTCCTGCCAGTGTATGAAGAGAGCCAAATGTACACCCCAACTGGGGGGCAGCAGGAACTAAATTTCAAAAAATCTGATTCCAAAGTTGTCAGTACTTACAGGGCTCATATAAAGCCTCAGAGCATTGTGAAGTTTGCCTGTCACTAATATCAATAAGACAGGGTTAAGAATTCTTTCCCAAATATTATGGACAAGGGTTAGACTCCAGTCTCTCCCTTAAGGATCCCTGAACTATTCAATTGAATATGTAGAACTTACATGCTACAGAAGCAACAACACATAATGCAAATGGATAATGAGTCTGTAAAAAAGCTCTCTCATTTTTTTCTTCTCCTCTTTGCAAATTATCTTGGCTATTTTTGACTTGAACAGATTCTAATCTAGCTGCATAGTTCACCCCTTAAATTCAGCACCAACATTTGCACAAGCACGGTTTGGTTTGGGAGGCACGGAGGGGAAAGAAAAATATACTCTATTATAAATTGATGTGTCTGTAACAACTACCCACAATGAGTTGTCAGCAAGGATTGTACCCAGAAGCTTCATCACTGAAGGCCACCAACCTGCAAACAGTTACACACATGCTTAACTTTATGAATGAGAGTAGTCCCAATGAAGTCAACGGGACTCAATGTGTGTAAATTTAAGCACAGGTAACGTCTAAAGGATTTTGAAATACTTAACTTTACTCATGTGAGCAGTCAGAGGACTGCTCACATGAATAAAGTTAAGCATGTGTAACTGTTCCTAAGTAACATCTTACTCCATAAGTGCTCCCAGTAAAATCATTCTTCTGAATCACATGTATACGTGTTTGCAGGATTCGGGCCTACATTCTTCTGTAATGTTTCAGAGTAACAGCCGTGTTAGTCTGTATTCGCAAAAGAAAAGGAGTACTTGTGGCACCTTAGAGACTAACCAATTTATTTGAGCATGAGCTTTCGTGAGCTACAGCTCACTTCACGAAAGCTCATGCTCAAATAAATTGGTTAGTCTCTAAGGTGCCACAAGTATTCTTCTGTAATGTAGTTTATCTGGGTATCAAAAAACATATAAATATATATTTTAAATCCTTTTAGCTTTGGCTTGCTACAGAAGGACTTTTTGGGGGGAGATGGGGGTGATGGAGAAACAGAAAATTTCCAAAAAATTAACATTCCTTCAAAAAAATCAATTGAAATATGTTGACCGCTTCCAATGGGTACCTCGATGTTTATATATAAACATTTATCCCCAAGTTTTCTCCTTCCCTTGACAGCTAGCAGGCTACTAATAGACATAAGAATTTTATAACTGGCAGATCATTTTGGGGGTTACATTTTATCAAATAAATGATAAATAAATAAAGGCTGGGGGAAATTTTTTTAGGAATGGATAACATACCATTCAAACATACCCAGTGAATTTAATTAACCTATTAACTCCCATAGGTGCCTTTCAAAATTTTCATACTTAACTACCCTAACTGGCCTTCTACCTAGCCATTGTTAGATGGCAAATTTTACGTAGGCACTGAAGTAGAAATTGGTGTTGAGGAGGGATTCAAAGGGAGAAAAGGAAGGCCTTAAGCACTACTTCAGGGAGGATGTTCTATGCACAGGCAGCATGGAAGAAAGGTCCAAGATGGTTGTGGGAGAAGTTGGTAATCAGGAAATTGAAGTTGGCATTATTGCTTTCGTAAGGATCAGGCGCCATGATAAAGAGAAAAGAGCAGAGAAGTAGGGAAGGGAAAAGTTGTGAAGGGTCTTGAAGCTGAGGACACAAAACTTGATCTTGGTGCAGCAGAAAGCGGGAAACCCATGGAAAGATTCAAAGAGACAGGGATGAGGTCAGAGTAATGGCCAAGGAAGAGGGTCTTAGCAGCTGTGTTTCACATAGAGTGCAGTGGAGGTGACTGTCAGGGAGGAGGTTGAGTGATATGCCAGACCTTCATGAAAAAATTGACCTGATATCACACAAATGAACCTTTATTGCTAAATAAAGCAGAGGAATGCTGTCGTTCAAGTAGACTTAAGATGAAAGAGCGTGTCAATGCCTAGTTGCCTGGAACCACTGCAAAAAGTTATTATCACAGTTCTTTTAAAGGAAGGGTTTAATGCCGTGATTGGATTGCTGGGGACTAGCTTAACAAAAGGAAAGAATGGTTAAAGGGATCATTTACCTTGTTTTCCATGCTGGATTTGCCTGCTTTTTCTTCCATGTGCACTCCTTATGGCATTGTCTGCATTTGCTCCTTTTCCACGAAGTGAAACGCTCAAGAGAGTTAATTGCAGGTTTGGAGATGTGCTAAATTGAAGCGGATGGCAGCTGTGAACTGGGTGCATCCTGCAAGAAAAGGTTTGAGTTTCCTTTGTAGTCAAACACATAATAATTTACTATTCCATCTGCTACTAACTTTTTGCTGGCCCCCAGTAAGGGCTCTGGCAGAGGAAATAATGCCCTTTCATTTTGTTTACAACAAATGCTAGTATAGCCAGGATAGTGTCATTATCTGTATTTCCTCAAGGGCTTCACCTGGACTATAGAGGCTCCAAATCAGAATGGACCCTAAATACACTAACACCCATTGACTGACATTATTCGGCCTCACTAAAGTCAGAGTCCTTCCACTGACTTCTAAGGGGTGTTGGATCAGGCCTGTTATTAGTTGTCAGGCTCTCTTAAGCAGAATGAGATTTCACCTCTTTTCTAGAACCTACTGTCCTCCCTTCCAAAAATACCCGCCATACATCTGTGAGGTAGATTAGTTAATTTAGAATAGCTCAGTAGCACAGTGATTACTAACCTTGCTTTCCATACAGAAGATTAGACCCTGACCCTGCACCCCCCAATGCAGCCAGCTTCTTATCTGATGTCCCAGATGGTATAGCAATGTGCACTACATAAATCAATGTAATAATTTCTTTCCTTTTCTTCTCTGCGGTATACATGTACAGTGCAGTTTGCCTTACACTGTGCAGCACAGTATTTGGCATTATGATGAAGTAAATGGAACACTTCATTATGAGAGTTTCCCTTAACATGAAGTTAGTTTAAACTTTAATCCTGACAGAAAACTGCATTTTGAATAGATGGATGGGATACCATGTGGCTGAGATGTCCAATCATCGTTAAGAAAGTGCCCTTCATATCACTTAAAAAGCTGATCATACATTGGCCAACGTACAGAGAGGTACAAGGTTTCCTACAAGCAGAAGAGTGCTGAGCATTCAAAATGCAGACACAAGAGTGAGAGGGAACTTGAAAATAAAATCTTTAGGGGGAGGAAAAATACCCTTGATTCATAATTTACAACCACTGAATTACTTTCCACCTACCGGGTCAAGTTTTACCCTCACGTACAGCACGTAGATGTAGAGCAAATCCACTGTTTTAATGGAGTTACCCTGGAGTAATTGGGAACAGAATTTGACTCTAATAGCTGTGATTTTCCCCCCAGCAACCCTCGAAACCATGAGGAAACCTTTCCCCACAGCATCAAATCAGGATCCTCTTCTTCCTGCTGCATGACTTATACATGATGACAGCACAAAAGATAACAGTATGGAAAGGCTGGCTTTTGTATCCATATAGATTGAACTCTGTGTGTTTGGTACAGCTTTGAAAAAAACACCATGGTGTTTTGTTCCTTTCTCCCACACCTCCGCTTATGTTAAATTAATTTCTTGATCATACATTATATTTTCTATGATTTGAGTTTCATGTCTTGGGATTTCTTATTGAAAATAATTAACAATAATATAACTAACAAAACCACAGGTTCATGTATGACAGAGATCAGTGAATTCAGAGCGCTCCCTTGCTTATATGGAAATACTGTTTTAATTAGGAAGTTTTCTACAGACTTGAAGGCCAAGAATTTCAAAAGTGACTAGCACTTTTTGGTGTTTTTGGGCCACAACAAAAAGGCCTGATTTTCAGAAGGTGGCTCAAGGTGGGTACCCAAAGGCCTACAAAAGGTACTACAAAATCAGTAGTTGCTTTTCAAAATTTTGACATGGAGTATATCCATCTATCTAATTCATGGGTGGCTCTATTCCTAGCATTCACTGAGAGGATGGTGACTGCTTGGTATCACTCAAATGTGTGGGCAAGGTGTAATAGCTTTAAAAATAAATCATGGCAGTAGAACTCTCTCATTTCCCTCTAGGGTGACCAGATGTCCTGATTTAATAGGGATAGTCCCAATTTTGGGGTCTTTTCTTATATAGGCTCCTATTAACCCCCACCCCCACCTCCTGTCCCAATTTTTCACACTTGCTGTCTGGTCACCCTATTTCCCTCCTTAGTTTTTACTATTACTATTATTTCTATTCTTAAAGCATTTTTATTCTTGATGCAGATTTGGTGAACATTCCATTTGAGCAATGGAAGTTGGACCTGTAGCCTGAGGATCTCCCCTTGCTCCAGGGTTACCAATGGTCCTTAATCTGCTAGAACCTCAATGTGGAATGCAGTATGGGACTCAGATCCAGAATGCAAAACAAGAGGAGGAAGAATCTCCAAATCATAAGAGTTTGGGTAGCTCGATCTAGTGGGCTAGAGAGTCAAAACACTGTTATTAACTGAACACTGTTGGATGGAGTGCGTTTGTGGTTTCAGTTTAATTTCTAGAACACAAGTGAGTGCCCAACTCAAAAAACACTAACACTGAAACGGTTTTTGGTCATTTAGTCAGAGAAGTCAAGAATTGAACTGATGTGGAAACCATGAATCCTCATACCCACAAGAAGTGGTCCCTTCACGTTAGAACTGAGGAGTCGCAGGGCAGCAGGTAGATATTTGCACTGTTGATATATAATATGCAGTACACACCCATACTGAGGATAAAAAGAGGGCTTCACTATCAGGATGCTATCTCTACGAGGGTTATTAAATGCAACTAAAAGAAATAAGCTCTTTCTTCCACACCCAAAATATGATCAATTCATTTCTTAAATGATAGAAAATATAATGTACGATCGAGTTTCATGTCTTCAGATTTCTTATTGAAAATAATTTACAATAATATAACTAACAAAACCACAGGTTCATGTACAACAGAGATCACAGTGAATTTGGAGTGCTTCCTTGCTTGCATGAGCTTCTAAGTCCTACACTGCACATGGAACTCTGAAAACGTATAACTAAATGCAGCTCAAAGATTCTTTTTCTCTAGAAAATCCCATGACAAATGTCCTCATGTGAGGTCACTTGAGAAATCCCTGGATTTCCTCCTGGATCTCGGTCACACAGCACATCAATCTATAGAATAATGGCTCTCAATGTACGGTCTGAAGACCACGTGAACAAACAGAATGCCAAGGAAAAGGGGTTTGCGACAGGTGCTCTTCAGCAAGGAGATCTGTATAAACTGCCACTCCAAAAGACTTAGGGCTGATATAATGCCTATTGAACGCAGTGGAAGGAATCCAAATGACTTCAGTAAGCATTGGATTGGGCCCACGGGTTTTAAAATGTATTTTACAATCAAACCCATGTAGTTTGGATTTTGCTTTTGTCTTCCAGAGCCCTCAGTAACGAGTTTGTTTAAAGCAGGCTTTGCAGAGTTTGCACTGCTGTTCAGGGCTTCTTAGGAAAAACATTCTGATACTGCAGTCTGATACCATTGTTTTGAGAGTTAATCCTTGTGGATCTAGAGTAATAGCTACATGCCCTTCATTCTGCTGTGATCCTTTGAAAAGCCATTTACAGTTTCAGTGTATATAGGGCTGCAAACACCTCCTTGAATAAAAGCATTGTGTATATGCCAGCCAAAATAAGAAAACATGGGGTCAAATGCATCCTTGGTGAGACTCCACTGAATCTAATCATCTTTCATTAAGGATGAACTTGGCTCATTTTGTTTCCTTTTAAAAATATGAAATGTACTTGTCTAAGTGGCTTGATTTCACTTCCTTTTACTTGATGTTTTAGAAGTGGTAACATAAATATCGGTTAGAATCACATGCGTTATTTCCTGTTGTGCCACCCCAATGCAATAAAAGAGAAAAGAGTAGAAAATAGCGTAATTAAACTCTTGAAGAAATTCTTGCTCTCACTGAAGTCACTGGAAATTTTCCATTGACCACAACAGTTTGAGGAATGGACACTCTCTGGATATTGCAGGTCTGGTAGTTTTATAAATGAGCTTCCACTTTCTGCTATGAGAACACGGTACCTCCACCTACATCACAAAAAGATTTCCTGTGAAATCCACACTGGCTGTTGTCCTGAGCCCCAACACAGTGTTCTGCTTTTGTTAGCTGATATACATAGCAAAAGTGAAATATTCTGCAGAAGCTGTATAAGGAGTAGGGTAGGTAGGCTACAATACATATCCTATGCTAAAACCTTGCCCAGCAAGGAAATAACCCACTGCTCTAGTCCATAATTGCATAGTTATGGCAACTGAAGTTATTCCAAACATTGTCCACATTCCAAGTTCTTCAGGAGTGGACTGCTGATATTACAACCTACACTCTAGTTCATGGAATCATTCCAGAGATCCAGATGCAGGTGAAATTAACACACTGGAAGTTAAATGCTTGAAGTGACAAGCTGCTCTTAAGAGGAGACCATGACAGATTAGTTAGCCTCTCTCTGATTCACATTTGATAGAATGCAGAAAAAATGTTAAGAATGAATTTTACAATTATATTAGCCCTGTATCTTTTAAAGAAGATTGAGTTGGTCTTAGTGACACTTCCAAGCATGGTTATTAAGGCCAGCACAAAAAAGGAGATAGCTTTGGGATGACACGACGCAGAGATAGAACAGAAGGTCAGGAACTGAAACTATTTAGACACCAGCACTCAGTCCATGCCTGCATGAATATGGGCACAGACCCTGGCAAACACCATTTGGGCATGGGGGAGAGAAAGGGCTGGGCATGTAAAAAAAATAGTGGGTGTTTAGCACCCACCAGCAGCCAGCTCCACGCCCTCCCAGCGCCTCCCATCTGCCAGCGGGCCCTTCTGATCAGCTCCTCCCCCTCCCTCCCAGTGCCTCCAGCCCGCCATGATCAGCTATTCTGCAGTGTGCAGGAGGTGCTGGGGGGTTGGGGGAGAGGAGTGGGGACGGGGCATGCTCAGGAGAGGAGTGGGACTGGGCAGGAACGGCGGCACGGGAGTGGGGGCTTGGAAGAACGGGTGGAGTGGAGTTGGGGCCTGGGGCGGAGCAGGGGTTGAGCATCCCTAGGGCAAGGTACAACCCAGCACCTGTGTGTGAAAGGCATAGTTGGACTGTAAGGGGTAAAGAGAGGGAAAACCAAGAAGGATGTGTCTGAGACAGGTGGTGAACAGGTCACAGGAGAAAAGCAGGTTTCAGAGGAACAGCCGTGTTAGTCTGTATTCGCAAA